TCTCTCTACTTTCTCTACCAGTCTTGAAAAGTCCATAGTATAGCCCCAATCAAAAACAATCGTAGGTAAAACAAGTCCTCCACAGCTCCTCTAAAACCCTTGTACTCGTACCCAAAGACAGAATGAAGGTCGACAATTTTGACATATGAGGCCTAAGCAAACAAAAGACAGCCTGGGCAAACACAGACACTGACTGCTAATCTGGTATGACCGAACCGCCCCCCCCCCCCCCCTCCACTTCTCCCACCCCTCCACTCCCATAACCTCATTTCCTTTCAACACCAGATAAGCCAAACTTTTTAATCTCTCCAAGGGCAAAAGTAAAACAAGACATAGGCAGTCGTGGTTCAAGGTCACCACGCTATAATTTCTCTGCTTGGAAACTCTAAAAAAATAACCAGACACCATCCTGGCCTTTCTCTGTCACCTATTTGTTAAACTTTTCCACGAAAGTTATTATGGGCCTACCACTAACCCAAATGTCGATAGGTGTCCCCCCCCCCCCTCCCCAAATCAACATATTTTAGATAATTCAGGAGGCAAGATTCCGACCCGGCCTGTCATGGGCCAACCAGGTCTGAGAGGGAAACAACATTCCAGCAGAAAGACAGAGATATTATTAGAAACAAATTTTCCCTACATGGGAATCGAACTCAGGTCTCCTGCATACGACAGCAAAGCATCTCAACCGCCACAACACAGACACCAGTACCTCAACCTCATTTGCCTTCTATTTTTCTAGTGAGATCACGAAGTTCTTAAGGCCTTTATAATATTAAATATCCATTCAAATGTCCCAGGAGACTGCATTTATGTCTCTTCCTCCTAATTGCTTTTAGTAATTAAAGTGACCATCCTACTTTGGTTTCTTTCAGCACTTTGCTTTTTACGCCCGCAATCAATGCTGTTTAGATCACTCAGATGATGGGCTGCTTCGACCCTGCCTGTCACATAAAGATTGTTATTTCCTACAGAGTACAGAGAAAGAGACAATAACTGTTTTAGCTTTTTTATGAGTTCTAATGGGAGTTTTCACGCATTTGCATCACAATTAGGTCATACAAGTGCCAAAGATGAGAGATGATATTTCAGAGAGATAAGTGGAGAAAAAAAGGAAGAGATAACGATGATAGATGTTTGATATGAGAGAAGGAGCAAACCACACCAGAGCCCACACCAGCCACCTTCACATGACTGTCGTGAAAACTAAACTAAAACATCACAACTATACAACTATTTTTCTCAATTATCATAATTTTTAAAAAAGACAAATTTACAGTTCACAGTAACTTAGTAACACTCCCCCCCACCCCCATAAAAACTCAAAACTTTACAAATAACTCTTTTGGCCAGACCGTTTTAGTTTTGATAAGAGTTTTACTACCACAACACGGCAAAAAATAGTTCATGTAATAGTTCACGTAAGTCCCAATAGTTCATGTAAGTCCCTCACGTAAGTCCCAATAGTTCATGTAAGTCCCAATAGTTCACGTAAGTCCCAATAGTTCACGTAAGTCCCAATAGTTCACGTAAGTCCCAATAGTTCATGTAAGTCCCAAAATTGGAGGTGTTATAAGAGAGAGCTAACAATTTAAAAAAAAACAGGAAGAGAGATAGAAATGAAAGATGTTTGACTGGAGAAAAGAAAGAACAAACCATACCAGAGCACCAACCAACCAACCACCCACCCACTCGAGCCCATCTTACTATTACAAATGACATACAGCGACGCAGCCAGTTAGCCGCATACCATCACAACACCATTTCCACACTATATGTAAAAAAGCTGCTTTCACACAGCTTCGCCTATACTTGTTCTCCACCATCCACCCAAACCAGTACAGTCGACCGACTTCCTGATTACAGCCAGGAAACGCAATACCCGTCCAACATGTTACCCTCCGCTGCTGCCCGGCCACAGAAAGTGAAATGTGATACGGCTATGCATAACTGCCATGAGGCATTTTCAACAACTAGATCTAAAAATAATGTTTTCATCCACCATTTAACCCTATCCTTTCCAAATGTCGTTTGTTCTTTTGTTTTTTTTAAACACAGAACACAACCACCCATATTCCCGTACTTTTTCTATTTATTATTAAGTTTTAGAAAGAGATTTATGGCACTTGCAATACAATCAGCATCATCATCGTTGCATTTCTCACTCTGGATGAGGGTATAGGCCATGAACAAACACTTTCTACCTTTCCCTATCCTGGGCTAGCCTCTTGGTGTTATTGCAATACATGTACAATAAGGTCATACAAATGCTGAAGATTATACGTGCGACAAGAGGGTAACAAACACCACAAACAAAAAAAGAGCGAGGAGAGAAAAGGACAACATTTATGAGGAGTCCACTGAAAAAAACGGGCATAGTCACAAACTGAAAATCGTGAGGGTATCAATTTTGATCACTTGTTGACTCAGAACTGTATTCCGGTTCAGCTGTTGGTTGACTATTGTTAGATTTCCCATCCAGCATTCATATAAAATAAACCACCATATAAAATAAACCACCAGTCAAACAAATATGAGGTTATGAGTCCACAAGCTTTTAATTACTGACACCCTCAGAATTTCCAGTTTGTGACTATGCCCGTTTTTACAGTGGACTCCTCATATGTTTGACAGGAAAAGAAAAGCAAACCACACCAGAGCACCTGCCAACCACCCACAACCCCAGCCCATCCACCTTCTCTATAATCTGATACCCTGCTAATATAAGGTAACCCATAGCCAAGACGGGAAGGAAGAATGCGACATATGATCAGCCTGAACTTTACTATGACAAAGCATCAAGGAGTAACAGGATCCTATTTGTCTCCGGCAAGAGGGAACAAATGTCATAAAAATATGAGGAATGAGTTTTCAAAATTTATTTGCAAGCATTTTTAAGCCCACATCTAGACAATTTATATCACTTAGGAGGCATGCTTCGGCCCCGGCTGTCAGGGCCAACTCGAGCTGAGAGGGATACGACATTCCAGCTAAAAAATTGAGATACATGTACTTTATGTTGAAAATTCTCGCCACCCGGAAACCGAACTTGGGTCTCTTGTATGCAACGGCGAAGCAC